GCTGAACTTACAAATATCAAATTATGTACAAAAAATAACAGCATTCAAAACTAAAACAATGTAAAACTTTAGAGCCTAGAAGTCCACTCAGTCAGACTTAAGCCAATCGCTCAGACAAACAAGTTTGATTAGAATCATAGAATATTAGGGTTGTAAGAGACGTCAGGAAGTCATCTAGTTCAATCCCCTGCTCAAAGCAGGACCAAAACTAACAATCATCCCAGCCAGAGCTTTGTCAAGCCAGGCCTTAAAAACCTCTAAGGATGGAGATTCCACCACCTCCCTAGGTAACCCATTCTAGTGTTTCACCTCCCTCCTAGTGAAATAGTTTCCTAATAGCCAACCTAGACCTTCCCCAATGCAACTTGAGACCATTGCTTCTTGTTCTGTCATCTGCCACCACTGAGAACAGCCTAGCTCCATTCTCTTTGGAACCACCCTTCAGATAGTTGAAGGCTGCTATCAAATCGCCCTTCACTCTTCTCTTCTGCAGACTAAATAACCCCAGTTCCCTCAGCCTCTTCTCATAAGTCATGTGCCCTAGCCGCCTAATCATTTTCGCTGCCCTCCGCTGGACTCTCTCCAGTTTGGTCCCTTCAGTAGTGGGGGGACCAAAACTGGACACAATACTTCAGGTGTGCCTCACCAGTGCCAAATAGAGGGGAATAATCACTTCCCTCGATCTGCTGGCAATTCTCCTACTAATACAGCCCAATATGCCATTGGCCTTCTTGGCAACAAGGGCACACTGCTGACTCGTATCCAGCTTCTCGTCCACTGTAATCCCCAGGTCCTTTTCTGCAGAACTGCTACTTAGCCAGTCATTCCCCAGCCTGTAGTGGTGCATGGGATTCTTCCTTCCTAAGGTTACATTTGCAGGAGACAATGTCACCTGAAAGTGAGAACAGGCATTCGCATGGCACTGTTGTAACTTATGTTGCAAGATATTTACGTGCCAGATGCGATAAAGATTCATATGTCCCTTCATGCTTTAACCACCATTCCAGAGGGAAGCAAAAGTGGATGGGAACCTGGGAGGCAGTGACCATGAGATGGTCGAGTTCAGGATCCTGACACAAGGAAGAAAGGAGAGCAGCAGAATACGGACCCTGGACTTCAGGAAAGCAGACTTTGACTTCCTCAGGGAAGGGCAGGATCCCTGGGAGAATAACATGAGGGGGAAAGGAGTCCAGGAGAGCTGGCTGTATTTTAAAGAATCCTTATTGAGGTTGCAGGAACAAACCATCCCGATGTTTAGAAAGAATAGTAAATATGGCAGGCGACCAGCTTGGCTTAACAGTGAAATCCTTGCTGATCTTAAACACAAAAAAGAAGCTTACAAGAAGTGGAAGATTGGACAAATGACTAGGGAGGAGTATACAAATATTGCTTAGGCGTGCAGGAGTGAAATCAGGAAGGCCAAATCAAACTTGGAGTTGCAGCTAGCAAGAGATGTTAAGAGTAACAAGAAGGGTTTCTTCAGGTATGTTAGCAATAAGAAGGTGGTCAAGGAAAGTGTGGGCCCCTTACTGAATGAGGGAGGCAACCTAGTGACAGAGGATGTGGAAAAAGCTAATGTACTCAATGCTTTTTTTGGGCCTTTGTCTTCATGAACAAGGTCAGCTCCCAGACTACTGCACTGGGCAGCACAGCATGAGGAGGAGGTGACCAGCCCTCTGTGGAGAAAGAAGTGGTTCAGGACTATTTAGAAAAGCTGGACGAGCACATGGGGCCGGATGCGCTGCATCCAAGGGTGCTAAACGAGTTGGCAGATGTGATTGCAGAGCCATTGGCCATTATCTTTGAAAACTCATGGCGATTGAGAGAGGTCCCAGATGACTGGAAAAAGGCTAATGTAGTGCTCATCTTTAAAAAGGGGAAGGAGGAGGATCCGGGGAATTACAGGCCAGTCAGCCTCACCTCAGTCCCTGGAAAAATCATGGAGCAGGTCCTCAAGGAATGAATTCTGATGCACGTAGAGGAGAGGAAAGTGATCTGGAACAGTCAGCATGGATTCACCAAGGGCAAGTCATGCCTGACTAACCTAATTGCCTTCTGTGACAAGATAACTGGCTCTGCAGATGAGGGAAAAGCAGTGGACGTGTTATTCCTTGACTTTAGCAAAGCTTTTGATACGGTTTCCCACAGTATTCTTGATGGCAAGTTAAGAAGTATGAGCTGGATGGACTATAAGATGGATAGAAAGCTGGCTAGACCGTCGGGCTCAACAGGTAGTGATCAATGGCTCCATGTCTAGTTGGCAGCTGGTATCAAGCGGAGTGCCCCAAGGGTCGGTCCTGGGGCTGCTTTTGTTCAATATCTTCATTAATGATCTTGAGGATGGCCTGGATTGCACCCTCAGCAAGTTTGCAGATGACACTAAACTGGGAGGAGTGGTAGATATGCTGGAGGGTAGGGATAGGATACAGAGGGATCTAGACAAATTAGAGAATTGGGCCAAAAGAAATCTGATGAGGTTCAACAAGGACAAGTGCAGAGTCCTGCGCTTAGTACAGAAGAATCCCATGCACTGCTACAGACTAGGGACCGAATGGCTAGGCAGCAGTTCTGCAGAAAAGCACCTAGGGGTTACAGTGGACGAGAAACTGGACATGAGTCGACAGTGTGTCCTTGTTGCCAAGAAGGCTAACGACATTTTGGGCTGTATAAGTAGGGGCATTGCCAGCAGATCGAGGGATGTGATCATTCCCCTCTATTCGACATTGGTGAGGCCTTACCTGGAGTACTGTGTCTGGTTTTGGGCCCCACACTGTCACAGGCCCAAGGACTCCCTCCCTCGGGGTCCCATGGGAAGGCAAATCAGCATTGAATGTTGCTAACGTGGTTGCAAGCATCGCAAGGCATTTCGGGGGAGGGTCAAAGGTGTGAGTGTGAAATGGAAGATTCCTTTCCAGGTTGCAAGAGGCCAAGAGGGGGAAGGAGGAAGAGGGCAGAGAACGGGTTAACTTGACACTTTAGCTAGCTCCGTGTGAAGATAAGACGCTGGCCCCGATCCAAGGTCATGGGCTCGACGAGAAATCTACAGCTGCCCAGCTGTGAGAAGAGGAGAACTAACTTGAGCAGGGCTGCAGAGACAGAAGTAAGAACAGTGAGAGCGAATGAGATGACAAAGGCCAACGGGAGGAAAACAAAGTCTCTGGAGCTGGTGTGTTTTGAGAAGCCGAGGAGGCCACAGCAAGCCGGTTTGGACTGGTACAAAGTGCACCAGGAACAGAGGGTTCTAAAATGAAAACACCCCCAAAAGAATCCAGGACTTAAAAACCCTCCTGAGAGCCAAAGCAAGTCGGAGATCACAGTGGACCCTGGACGACCCGTGCACAGTACAAGAACTCCCGTCCACCCCTCCCCCTCTTCTTCTTATGTTACACCCAGGCTTGGCCAGCCTCGGGTCATGTGTGTGTGAGTATGAAAGTGGGTTAGGGCTGAGGTACTAACTCTTTCTTTCTTCCTTTGAGTGACGTGGGAGCAGTCCCAACACTCACCGCTGTTGTTTTATTATTTTATTAATAAAGCTTTAAAACTTAAACCCTTGGTGTGCTCCGGCATCTCCTCCCCTAAAGATCCTGCGGCCTCAGCCTGATCACCTGATGCCCCGGACAGACTGGTAACAAATCTGTCACAACACTACAAGAAGGATGTGGAAAAATTGGAAAGAGTTCAGCGGAGGGCAAGAAAAATGATTAGGGGGCTGGAGCACATGACTTATGAGGAGAGGCTGAGAAACTGGCATTGTTTAGTCTGCAGAAGAGAAGAATGAGGGGGGATTTGATAGCTGCTTTCAACTACCTGAAAGGGGATTCCACAGAGGATGGATCTAGACTGTTCTCAATGGTCCCAGATGACAGAACAAGGAGTAATGGTTTCAAGTTGCAGTGGGGGAGGTTTAGGTTGGATATTAGGAAAAACTTTTTCATTAGGAGGGTGGTGAAGCACTGGAATGGGTTACCTAGGGAGGTGGTGGAATCTCGTTCCTTAGAGGTTTTTAAGGTCAAGCTTGACAAAGCCCTGGCTGGGATGATTTAGTTGGGGATTTGAGCAGGGGGTTGGACTAGATGACCTCCTGAGGTCCCTTCCAACCCTGAAATTCTATGATTCTATGATATGCATCCATGCTGATGATGGGTTCTGCTCGATAACGATCCAAAGCAGAGTGGACCGATGCATGTTCATTTTCATCATCTGAGTCAGATGCCACCAGCAGAAGGTTGATTTTCTTTTTTAGTGGTTCGGGTTCTGTAGTTTCCGCATCTGAGAGTTGCTCTCTTAAGACTTCTGAAAGCATGCTCCACACCTCATCCCTCTCAGATTTTGGAGAGCACTTCAGATTCTTAAACCTTGGGTCGAGTGCTGTAGCTATTTTTAGAAATCTCACATTGGTACCTTCTTTGCATTTTGTCAAATCTGCAGTGACAGTGTTCGTAAATCAAACGTGCTGGGTCATCATCAGAGACTGCTATAACACAAAATATATGGCAGAATGCAGGTAAAACAGAGCAGGGGACATACAATTCTCCCCCAAGGAGTTCAGTCACACATTTAAATGAGCATAATCAACATGGAATGGTGGCTGAAGCATGATGGGGCATACGAATGTTTAGCATATCTGGCACTTAAATACCTTGCAATACCAACTACAACAGTGCCATGCGAACGCCTGTTCTCACTTTCAGGTGACAGTGTAAATAAGAAGCAGGCAGCAGAATTGCCTGTAAATGTAAACAAACTTGTTTGTCTTACCAACTGGCTGAACAAGAAGTAGGACTGAGTGGACTTGTAGGCTCTAAAGTTTTACATTGTTTTGTTTTTGAGTGCAGATATGTTACAAAAAAAATCTGCGTTTGTAAGTTACACTTTCAGGCTAGAGATTGCACTACAGTACTTGTATGAGGTGAATTGAAAAATACTATTTCTTTTGTTTATCATTTTTACAGTGCCCTCCCAATTAGACGCAGACACTGCCTTTCTGTTCATTCACTTACCTCTTTGGCACTTGTGAAGGCCACCCCGGAAAAGGCGTATCTGTCCACCACTAGAGTGATGCCTTGATTTAACTTCTCTTTAATCAACGGCCTGAACAACAGAAAGAAAAGACACATCATACTCCATTGTACCCAGGCATAAATGATAAGAATTCAACACAGAGGACACAGCAGGTGGGCTCTTTTCAATTAGTTGATGCACTTGGCTATAATGATCTCCAGCAACTGTGGGGTTACAATACTTTGTCAGTCGAGGCTGTGATTTTTGTTTATAAGCTCTGTCCCTCACAGTCTCTCAATGCTCTGAAAATCAAACCCAACCTTGTTCATCACTATCCTTCCAGCCAAGGAGGAATGGATGGGACTCTTTCCAGAGACAAACAGTGCTGCAAGAAGTATGCTTGCTATGGCTGCTGCTACCTGAAATAGTGTTACTTTCATCCTGCCCTTTATTAGGGGCTGAGCAAATAACCTCGCATCGCCTAGCATAAAAAGCAAATTCCAGAGCCACTAATCCTAAGTCTACTGCATGGTAATGCAGAGCACTAGTTCATCCAGTTAAATGACCTATGGACAAAGTCACAGCCAAGCTGAAAGTATCTACAGTTGGGACCAAACGAGTGGTTTAGTTCAATTTTTTTATTTAGTATAGCAGATACAACAAGGACTGTGTGTCTCTTGGGCAAAAAATCACTTGAACTTAACCCAAAATGGACAATAATGTGTCAAGACTCACGCATCTGTCTTCCATACTGAGAATTCATGCATGTTCTCTATCTGCTTGGCATTAGATACGAATGAGCTACCACCAGCCTCAGCAGGATCAGATAAGCCTTTGGAAAATGCAGCTTTTAAAAATAGAAACATATTTTCTATTTTACAGATTTCCAGCTAATAGCACTACTTTTCACAAATTTAAACCATTACCCTTGTAAAAGTCTGGTTTGACTAAAACCATACATCATTCTACCACTTATTGCACAAAAGGAGTAGCATCCAGGTTGAACTGTCAATAGATCATATTAAAGGCAGTACCCACTCTCTGTAATAAATAGTGTAGTGCATACTTCATCATAAAGCAAGAGAGCTGAAGCTTAACTTGAAAAATGAAGGGAAGAACACCAGTTCTTTAAGAGCATCTCAGCAGCAAGAGATTTAGTGAGACTACACTCTAAGGCCTCAATTCTGCAGTTGATCCATGTGAGAGCAGGGACTAAGAATGTTTCACCCTCTGATGCCAGGAAGCAGATATGGGGGCTGATTTTGAGAGTTATCACACTACATTAATTTCAATGGGAGTTAAGGGGCCTCAGTGTGATGGGTTGGGTCACAGAAACCTTGGGACTGCCACCTGATGTGCTGGGACTATCTCTAAGCCCGTTTTCCCTGGCAGCTTAGGACTTCAGTACCTTGCCTGGTTGTGCCAGACACGATAGCCTGCTATAAACACAGACCCAGGTCTGAACCACGTCCCCCAGAAGCTGCAGGCTTAACTGAAAACAGCTTAAGAAGTGCTCCTGTCTCCAGCACCCAGATACCCAGCTCCCAATGGGGTCCAAACCCCAAATAAATCAATTTTACCCTTTATAAAGCTTATACAGGTAAACCCATAAATTGTCTATCTTCTATAACACTCAGAGAGAGAGATGCACAGCTGTTTGCTCCCCCAGGTATTAATCACTTACTCTGGGTTAATTAATAAGTAAAAAGTGGTTTTATTATATATAAAAAGTAGGATTTAAGTGGTTCCAAGTACTACAGCCAGAACAAAGTAAATTACCAAACAAAATAAAACAAAACACACAAGTCTAAGCCTAATACAGTAGGAAACTAAATGCAGGTAAATCTCACCCTCAGAGATGTTCCAATAAGCTTCTTTTACAGACTAAACTTCCTCCTAGTCTGGGTCCAGCAATTGCTCACACCCCTGTAATTATTGTCCTTTGTTCCAGTATCTTTCAGGCATCCTTTGGGGTGGAGAGGCTATCTCTTGAGCCAGCTGAAGACAAAATAGAGGGGTTTCCAGGGGCTTATATAGTCTCTCTCTTGTGGGTGGAAACTCCTCTCTCCCCACTTTAGAATCACAGCTACAAGATGGAGTTTTGGAGTCACATCGGCAAGTCACATGTCCATGCATGACTCAGTTCTCTACAGGCCGACGCCATTGCCCATGTTAGCCCGAATGTTCCCAAGAAAGCTCAGATGTGGATTGGCATCTATCAAGGTCCACTGTTAGCTAAGTGCTCCCAATTACTTGAATAACCCCTTCATACTATATTGACCAAATCTGCCTTAGGTGCTTCCTACAGCAAACTTTAAATACAAGCATAGAGCCAACACTCATAACTTCAGATATAAAAATGATACATGCATACCAATAGGATGAATACACTCAGTAGAACATAACCTTTGCAAAGATATGTTACATGGCATATCTAGCATAAAACATTCCAGTTATGTCATATTTACACTCATAAGCATATTTCTATAAAGCATTATGGGGCGCAACGTCACACTCAGCACATAGAAAATCAGGTCAGATCCTGTAACAAGCTCTCCACTGGTGGACCCAATGCATGCCCAGAGACACACTGCAATCAACGAGCCTCCACACAAGTGCCAGTGTCTGCCTGCGTAGAGCTCATTGCAGCCTTGGGGCCTTATTTCAGTGCAAATGTAGGCACCAAAGTTTGGAAGTTTTAGGCTGGGGGAGTTTGTTCCAGAGAGGTGTTAAGCTACTCTCACTGAAGTTCTAATGAGAGAGGCTCAGCATCAAGCCATAAGCTTGCAATAGCATTTGTTAGGTGGGAGAGCAGTGAACTAAGAGCAGTTCTTACAAATGAGCAGTTCTTACATTGTCTTCTTATATATGGATGTTGAAGTAGAAAGCCTGGGCCACTCCCATCCCTCTTAAATCACTTAGAAGTTTCATCACAATTTCCCTTGATTAAAGTTGAGGGAGTATGACTCAATCAAAAGTCCTAGGGACTGGTCAGAATCATGTTGAATGTTGTTAACCATGTATTTTGAATTTTATCATCATACTAGACGGTAGCATAATACATGATTTAGAAGGTAAATGTCATTTTTAATTGTATGAAAAACACAGAATCCATGCCCTAGCGCCTTACAACTACGCCACTTATGCCAAGCTCCACTGGGAGAAGCTGTAGTTCTCTGTTGCTACCATAGAGTCACATTTACTCACTCAGTGCTCTCCTCTGAGCTCAATCCACCCTGTGATTGTTGCTGTTCCCTCTACTTAAGACCAGGCAGAGGAAATTCAAAAATAGACCTGGTAACATTGAAGAAATATTCCCACACCATAGGCAGGTATCTGTCCCCCCCTTTCCCCCCCCAAAAAATTAACAGACTAGATCAAGGATTCAAGAACAGATGCTTGGCTCAGAACACAGGCAAGTTATCCCTATAGTTTAGACGGCTATATACATAAACTACAAATCAAGAAATTATGTGAACCCAAGATTAAGAATACTGTGTGAGAAATCTAAATCAGACTTGTTGGTATGGCAAATTCAGAGCTGGAGAAAGGCGTTCCACATCAGTCTCTGTGCCTTCAGCTACAACATTAGGAAAAGCATGAAGACTTTATCTTAATTTTAGCATTAATTAATTTAGTGCTCATAAAGTGATGGATTTCTAGTTCTAGCCTAATTCAAGATGATGCTAGCAGATGCTTCAGTACACCTCAATCCGAACCTAAAGCACTCTTAATTCTATTCCAGGCTGCTCTTAAGAATGCCAATCAGATCATATCGGGAGGTGACTTTGTGATACACACAGAAGTGATAGGAAAACGAGACTACCAAATTCACTTTCATTTATAGTTGAGCTTTTAATTAAGATTTCAAGAGATTACCAAGGTAACATGTTAATCCACTGTGTGATGGAGTCTCCAAAAACCTCATGTAAGGTCTGGGCCTTTTTCTGCAGCCATGTAAGGAGAGCAGTAGCTATGAGCCAAGAAGCAGAAAGTCACATCCTCACCTTCCTTTTAAGTTATATCAAAACAATGTAATATTGGGCTGTTAAGAAGGCACCCCTACTAATAGTACCCATCATACCAGATAAGCAAGGAATCTCTTAAGATGTTTAAAGAAAATGTTGTTTGACAGCATTCTGTCTGGCAAGGAAACACTTATCAACAGTTTAGGTGTGAAATCTCTACTTCTTTATTGTTTTGCCTTTATGATCCCTACTTCTCTATTGTTTATCTGTATGGTTTCTGTCTGTTACATAACTAATTTTGCTAGATGTAAATCAACTATGGTGGTGGGATGTGATTGATTAAAGATTTTTTCATAATGGGCTAGGATTGGTGAAAGATATGGTTTTATAGTACTTTAGTTTAAAATGATTGGTTAAGGCACAGCTAAGCAGGACTCAAGTTTCACTATATAAGCTGCGGTCCAAAAGGAAGTTCTTTGGAACCAACTCCAGGACACAGTCCCAAGATCATAGCTGCTAGATCTCAACAGCCTGCCAATCATACCATCATACCATGCAGAAGCTGGAGTCCCCAGATGACCTGATTCTGACTGGCCCTCAGGAAAATTTCATCTTCCTTCTTGGGAGTGATAAGCATTGTATTCGTAGCACGTGCATTCTGTTTTGGTGGTTGTTAATAAATAGAGGTTACGGATATTACTGTGTAAGGCTCTTTCACTGGTAAAAGACCACGCAAATCCATAGAAGAGTATGCCCTAAGCCCTAGGAATTGGGTATGGGTGGCCCTGAGCTCTAGGAACTGGCTAAAGGGGTAGCAGAACAAGGTCCATGCCCATGGGGATAAGATTCTTTCCAGGGGAGGGATGTCCTTGA